GAGTTAGCTTTCAACACAATTTAAAGTGCCTTAATTGGATATGGAAAGAGAAAATTATGATAAAAGTACCTACGGCTATGCAGTGCAAGTTAGGATGGGCAATAACAACGAGGACAAATATTATGCCTAGGAGATCGCCCGGGTCCTACACCAAATCTGGGCAAATCCAGGTAAATTCATGATTTCATTAGAATTCATCTTCAATAGAATTTTGGGCGCATTTTCCTACCTATTTCTGAGATTTATAAATACGCATAAAAAATGAAAAATGAAAAATTGGTACAAATTATACATCAATTATCATTATCAAAGAGAGGTCAATTCATAGATCTTTTGAGATAATTAAGAAGTAATTGCAAGATTTCAATTCTTTGAAGATTCAACCATGATCATTGGACAAAGGATGAGAAGAAACAATCTGAGACTCATGAAGAATCCATTGTAGAAACAAAATATTTCAAGTCATCTTCTTCCTTTCAATTTAACCATAATCTATGTTATGTTCTTCCAATTAATTATAATTTTTTTGTGATTTTGTAGACATTGATGAACCCTTAATATGATGTTTTAATATAAATTCAATAACTTGACGCTCAACATATGTTTATTCTTGGATGATTGTTATAAAATTTAATGGCTTCTCAATTACTAGATCACTAATTGGATTGATTGTGAAATTTATTAATCTAGAGATAAACAATATGATAGAAAGCACTTTATAACATCCATTGTAAAGTTCGATAGAGGATAGAAATATACCACTATACTTTACATGATATTTATAAGTATTATAGTATATTTAATGTACGCTTTCATGTTTGCATCTTGCATAGAGATAGACGAGGGTCACATGAGATTATTGATTTAATTGATATTGAGAGATGCTTTTATTTAACTTAGGAACATTGACGAACAATAATGTGCACATTTTGTTATGTTATTTGATTACATTGAAATGGACTAATAAAGGGGCTTCGAGGTCTTAGTAACCGTCTCATCTAAATTTACAAAGCTCATAATTTGCTCCCTATAATTGTTAGTTTAATTAGATAAATTAATTTAAACAATTAAAAAAAATGGCTATTCAATTAAAGTTGAAAGTAATTAATCATTTATTAAATATGTGATCCTCATGGGAACAATATCTTATTCATCACTCTATTACTTGTTTTCTATATTGTACACTTGGGAGGAATATAACAATCAAGTTTTTAACGCATTGTCAAGACTATAGAATTTAATTAGTTTTCGCTAGTTATAATTTTACTCTGAATATTTATTGCTTTATTAGTTCAAGTTCATATTAGAAAAATATTACATTGTTTTCCATCTTTATTTTTAGTACCTTATATGCAAAGTTCAAAACACGATGATCTCACTCCATTTGAATTTGAAGTTGAACGACCATTGAAGTCGAGAAAAAAAAAAGAATAGATAGAAGTACACTAAAAACAACAAGAAAAACCAATGGTAGAAGACATATAGAATCAAGTGACGTTTGGTTGAACGACAATGTAGTACATTCGGTTGTAAATGTAGGGAACAAAAATGAGAGATTGATGGGAGAATACTTGGTTTCACCTATGGCAGAAAGTAGATCTAGCATAGCTTATCTAGCATTTGAGTAAGCTAATTACCGATTGAGGACAAACGTGATAATTTTTTTCTAGAATGCACTACAATTCTTTGGGTGACCCAGTAACAATCCAAATGCTCATATCTCAAGATTTTTGGATATGTGTGTAACAATTGGATATCCAAGGGTTTTCACTGATGCGAATCAGTTTAGGCTCTTTCACACACATTAAGAGATTTAGCTAGGGAGTGGTTTGACACCTTTTTCCCTCATAGCACCGTCACTTGAATCAATCTAAGTTAGAAGCTCTTAAATAAATACTTACTACCAAAGAGAAGTGTCAGGTTAAGAAATGAAACCAAAACATAACATCATTCTCTCAACATGATTTAGAGTGCAACTACAAAGCATGGGAAAGATACAAAGGACTATTAAGACAATGCCCACAACATGGTTTGCAGAAATGGTTCCAAGAATTCATCGGGTTGAACCCGACAAGCAGGGATAATGTTGACTTTGCCTATGATGGGTCAATTACAAAATCGATAACGGATCAAATGTATCAAATCATGAAAAATCTAGCATACAACAGTACATTGTGGATAACAAAAAGATCGGGTGGAAAGAAAATTATTGAAATACACACGAGGTTGACACACTGACAACAATCTCAGCACAGTTAGTAACTTTAGCTCAAAAATAGATCAGATAATTAATGCATTGCAAGCAGTTGAGCCAAGACATAATCATTGTGGAGGGATCAGGAAAGCGTTGATTGTAATGTAGACAGTCTTTTTACTTATTTAGTTGAGAATGTGAATTACATGCAAAATTATCAGATACAGCAAACTCATTGAGGGTTTTCTAGCTTTCAAGTCTCTAGAGTTTTCTCTCTTTGGTCTTCTTCTTCTTTTGTAGTTCTTTTGATCTTTCTTGAATGAGAGATTAGGGATAAGCCTTGTAAAATCTTCCTACTACAGTAATCTTGTAGCCAAAAATATTGCTAGTATTGTGCGGTTATGTACTGGAGTGTTTTAGTAAAATAGATTGTTGGTTGGGTTTAGTTTTAGAAGATCCTTTTGGATTTGGGACTAAAACTGGTTTGAATTTGGTCATATACTCATGCTCTCTCTAAGGTAGTTGTTTGCACATTATGGAACGAAAAATGCTATGTGTACATAATAGTGTACACATAGCATTACACCCCCCTCATATGGAGGGGGCCCACGCACAATAAAATATTTGTGGGCCCCTCTCCATGTGAGAGAGATGTAATGCATTGTGTACACCTCATGGTGTACACATAGCATTTCCCTTGTGGAACAGGCTGATTCCTGAGCAACCCAAATCAGGCAACTTTTACTAAACTAGGTGAGCAATTCCGTGTTCTTAAGTGTCATTGTTATGTTCATCATCAAATCGTTTTATAAAGGGCGAATTCCCAACAAAATTAGTATTAGAGCCTTTTAAGACTTCTCGGTAAGTTCGTCTGAGAAATTTTTTTCTTAATAAAAATCTATTTCTTTAAAACCATTTTCTAGATTCGTGTAGATCTTGAAAAGATCCATATAACATAGGATTTTTAGTTCAAAACTTTTTTTTGGAACATCAAGTGTGTGTTTGATACTGTATATTGTCTCACTAGTCCACTGTAAATTTGACTGAGTTTGTTGGCTTCATTACTAGCTTTCAGAGGTTTGGACCATTTTTCAACGATTATTTGCTTAGACCTTTTTCAGTATGTGCAAGATTTCTTAAAATGTTATATCTGTTGTTTTTTCTGTACATCTTTTTAGATAATTCTCATATCTTGATCTTTCAATAATGCCGTTTCTTTAATTTTTAGTGTGTGGTACTATTTTTCTGAGAATATGATTCCCAAATGACCTCGAATTCGATCCATACTTTTACAGAATCTATCATGGGTTCGGGTCAAACTTGACAATTCAATGGATATGGAGATAATCTGATTTGGAAGAAAAAGATGAGGGCTATATTAGTCCAACAGAAGATGGCAAAAGCCCTTGAAGATCCTGTAACATTTTCTGGTGAATGGAAAGCAAAACCAAGCGAAATTGAAGGAATGAATGAGATTGTACATAGCTCTTTGGTCCTGCATCTATTTAATTGTATTGTTAGATAAGTAGATGAAGCTAAAACTTCTGGACTACACTTGACACTTTATTCCTAAGACTTTAACAAATAGGATTTATCTTTTTGAAAAATTTCTTTTGTTTTAAGATCGGCCCTTGGAAAGACTTAGAAGTAAATTAAAGTGACTTTAGTACTATCATGAAAAGCTTAGCACGCAATGAGAAAATTTTGAAGATGATAATCTAGCCGTTATTTTGATGAATGATCTGCCAGATTCCTATAAGAATGTGAGAAATGTAATAAAATACTCTATAGACAAATTTAAATAAAAAATTGTAATAAATGCCCTGAGATCAAAAGAGTTAGAGGTTAGAAAACAATCGAACGCTAACTTTAGAGAAGAGATCTTGTTTGTAATAGTGAGAAGTGAGAAAAGGGATAATAACTTTCAAAGTAAAAAAAGAGAAAGGAAAAGTCTAAGGTAAAGTCCAAATCCAAAGATAAAAGCAATAAAATGTGCTATGGTTGTGGTAAGTTAGGACACTTTAAAAGAGATTGCTATGAGTGGAAAAAAAATAGCAAAACAAAACAAAAACAAAAAGAACATAGCAATGTACAATTAAATACGCTGATGTTCACACAGAATTCGATAGTTTGCATGTGATGACTATCTAGTGATGAAATTAATAGAGACTGAATATTAGATTCAAGGTGTACATTCCATATGTATCATATTAGGAATAGGTTTTACAATTATAAAGAAATAGAACCTAGAAATGAGTGTATGGTAGATAATAATTCATAAACATTAGTTGGTATAGGTGACATCACCATCAAGATGCATGATGTCATTGTCAGAACAATAAAGAATGTCGATATGCGCCTACTCTGTAAAGAAACCTTATCTCATTGGGATTCTTGAATTTGAAGAGCATGTATTTAAATATGAAAATAACACATTAAAGGTTGTGAAAGGATCCTCAGTTGTTATGAAAGGGACTAAGAGAAATAGAATGTACTATCTTGTGGGTGATACAGTTACTTCACAAATAGATATGTAATTGAAAATAAATCTAGTCTTTGGCATAATAGAATTGGGTACATTGGAAATAAGGGTCTAAAATCTTTAAGTAATTAGAAATTACTTGGGAATGATTTAATTGAACCATTGAATTTTTGTGAAACATGTATAGGAAAAATTTCACTAGGTGAGTTTTGAGATATGTTCACATAGTACTAAAAGATCCCTAGACTATATCCATACAAATTTGTTGTGACAAGAGAAACATTCCACTTTTAATGAGAATAGATACTTTCTGTCTCTTGCGGCTTAGGAGACAACATTTATCCATCTAGTCCCATCAAAGATCGGCATTTGATTTTCTCCGGCACGAATAATCATCTTCAATATCTTCATGTTGTCGATATGAGATGCCTTGAAGGCACTAACCATGTCATCAAATTCCCTTTTTTGGTACTGTCTATCTGCACAACAGTATAATCATTTAAGTAATGGTATGAGTAACAATAATTCAAGAAAAGATGCACAAGTTGTGCGCTGATTCTCTGCATGTTCCAATTTCTCGTCTCTTTCTCAACCCACACCCTATAAAAGTAGTAAACAAGGTCTCTTTGGGCACTCATTTTCTGAGGTGTTCCTGCGATGCTGGGAAGGTGGACCCATACTAAGTGTTTGTAGGACTACTTTATCTTTAGTTTAGGCATAACAATGATTTCAAACGAATCTAGTTTGCTGGTGACTTACCAATAAAATCATTCAATTTGTTCAGTTGATCTTGCAGGTGCTCAGACATGTGGGAGAGCTTACTAGCTAGACTTAATAACTCCCAGGACTCAGCAGTTGAGGTAATGAACCTGATCCCCAACAAAATTATTTAATTGTCAATACATTTAGAATTCAACTTTCTTGCTTTTTTTTTTACTTTGTCAATTAGGCACAATTAGAAACATACTCATGACCACTGCCAATAAGGTTCAGAAGTACTGAAGCACAAGCCAAAATGCCCCTTATGATCCAATAAATAGCCGTCGGAATGTGAACTGTTGCAGTTTTCATTTCTGGTGAATCCCTGTTCACATATTGAGTGGGGAGCTCCTTGAACTTTATAATGATGTGAGTCACGTTCAGTACAGCGCGTAAAAGATTGACAATAGCTTGAAACTTCTTTTTCATTTCTTCTTTCTGCTCCATTGTTTCTGGTATATCCTTCAGAGCTGCAATATCCCTGGCAAGCGGATTCATCACGCGAAGGTTCTCAACCAACCCAAATTCACCGTAGCTGACAGAAAAAGCAGCAAACGTAATGACCGCCTTGGCATCCCACCCGTAGTTTGACAGTGTCTCAAGGAGTCCAATGGCTACTGAATGTGCTTGTCCTCCAGCGCCACATTTGCAAATTATCTGTTGCATTAGACATTCATAATCTTGCGTTGACAATTGATATACAATGTCTAGTTTAGGGCGCTTATATATGCTGTAATGCCTCTATTAGAAGTTTAAATAAATTTTATGTAACATTCATGAAACTAATGCTAAGAATAACGTTTAAGATAATAATGCCTCTATTACAAGTTTCTTAACTAATAAAGCATGATTTGCTTTTAAGATAATCAAGATTGAGCATGAGGGGATCAAAAATTCTCTATAAAAAAAATTTATCAGCCAAATCTTTTACTTCACGGTGAAAGATTGAGCTTTATCAAGATTTTGGGACATTTTGAATATTTTCATGTGAAACATGTCTCGCTCATCTTTATACATATTTCTTAGTATATCCATTATCTTGGTGTTTCGCGCGGGTTAGTCGCTAACAATTAAAAATGGATCAGACGATTGTGTAAGGGACAAACCTCTTGAGACAAAGTCCCAAAAAGGGGTGTTCTTTTATTGGCGACGACTTTACAATTGGAAATTAAAAACAAAGTGCCTCCAAGGGGCGTAAGCACACGAGTTACTGAAAAAAGTATTTAAGTCTAAGCTAAGGAAATTAAAATTACATGTTCTCTGTTCGAAAGTTTTTGATTCGATCCTTTGCTCTATGTCTTTTCTCCCTTTTATACTTCATGGACGATCTCTTTGTGATCAACCGCCTAAAAAGTGTCTGATCGTTCTACAACTGCCCACTTTCCTCGTAATGGCCAACTTGTCATGAAAACTGCCTTTTTTAACTACTGCAATTACTCTTCGTCGTTCAACCGCTTTCGATTGAATTCCTTAAATCGTGGAATGTGATAAGGCTGCTTTAATAACTGCTTTGATAATTGCACTTCTTGATAACCACAACGCTTTATGTTTGTTAAGACTTTGGGCGACTTGAAGGTTTGGGCGAGAATAGAGTAACAGCTCTGGGCGACTACATGGCACTCCATTCGCTCAGATTCTGGGCGACTTGCAAACTTGGGCGATGGCGTTACCGCGTTCTTGGGCCTCCCTATTTGGGCCTTCATCTTGAATTGTTTGATTGGGCTTCGTTCTTTGGGCTATCTGATTTGGGAATCCTCCAATTGGGCTTCATTCCTTGGGTCGTTCGATTTGGGCTGAATTTTTATGTGTCAACAATTACCCCCCAATATGGCAAAATTAATAATAATTATTAAATTTTGCCATATTCACTTTGTGTTTCCAGCAACATTTGAGATTTCCAAGAATTTCAATCATTGTTTTCTTCCATAACTTGAAAAGGTGCGTCATTTTGCAAACCCTTATAACCCCCAAACACGCCATTTCACTGCACCATTAAATCACACCTCAAATTTTTCGCGTCTCTCCCACGATTTACTGTTCATCTTTTGCTTCCCTACTACGTAACCCTGAAAAACTTTGTTCCTTCTCAAATGGCTACTTCACAATCTCAAGCTGGCGACTCCTTTAGTTTTGATGACTTTCAGAAACTTCTGAGTCATCCATACATAACTCCGAGTTTTCTCGCGCCCACCGATGTCGAACGCAATGGGTTCTACTTAGGTCCTTTCTTCAACAATGCAGAGGCAGTTGAACAGGCGGCGGTGGGTCAGCTGTTTCCTTGTACTCAAGGCCCTCCATTTCTAAACTCTCTGCCGTTGGGGCCACTTCGCGAAAGAGGTATTCGCACTTGGCCTAAATCTGATGTAGCTTTCTGTAGGTGGCATGCTCGTCTTGTGGGTCATGATCCTACTAAGGCACTTTTTGATAATGCTAGGATTTCTGATTTGTTAGAAATCTCTATTCGCCCCCCTACTTTTGATTCAGCACTTTTTTCGATTGCTTTGAGTTTTTGATCTTCTGAGTATAATACCTTTATTTTTCCTCTTGGCCCCATGTCTATTACTTTAAGGGATGTTGGGGCCCTAATGAATCTACCACCTTTGGGCGATACCATTTTTCCTGGTATCTTGGTTTCTGGTGGCGCCCCAAAGTTTGGTAGAAACTACACCGAGTCTTATTCAAGCCTGCAAACCCTTCACAATCATTCAAGCGCTGAGCGTTCTCATACTGAGCGAGTGGCTTTTCTTCTAGTTTGGCTTTGTAAATATGTTTTGTGTGTGCCAAGCATAAAGCCCTTCCTGAGTTATTTACCCATAGCGCATGAATTGGCGCGTGGCAGGCCTTTGAATTTATGTTCTTTCTTTTTGGCTGCCCTTTATAGAGGCATGGCCTTTCTTCAAACTCAATTGAAGAATGGTGCATCTCCCACTGGTAGTGGACCTCTTTGGTTCACTCAACTATGGTTGAGATCCTATTTTCCATTGCTTGGTGCTCCATCAATTTCTCGCTCCTCTGCTAGCTGTTATGGGCTAGCCATGGAGCCCTTGGCTCCTGTAAATATGCCCAGAAGAGACATTTTTTCATTCTTTTATTCTTTGGATTCAATCTCTTCTTTTTTTCCTTTTCCTCCTTTTTTGACTCCAGACTATGTACATCCCCCCTCCACTATAGACAGCGCGAGCACCTCCCTGCTCATTTGGATCCAGTTCTTAACCGAGAGGGAGCTATTTCATGATATTTTAACTGGGACCAATGCCAAGGCAGGGGTAGAGATTTATGCTCCCCAATTTTTTGCTCGCCAGCTTGGTTTCGGTCAAACTTGACCTGTTCCTCCTTGCTATTCAAGGAACTTAATTGACCATTTTCATATTATTAATAAGAGGAAGGCAGAGGCTATAAATGCTCGCAATCTTCTTTTAACCAACTATTTTTCATTAGCCCCCTTCAATTCTAGCCACGCCATCCATCCTCTTTTTGAACAGCTCTGGCCGTCAGTGAAGCGCAGATTATTTGCGGCTGATGCCAATCGTGCCTTTCATTCATTAGACCAGCCGAGCATTTCTTTCCCTCCTCCTGTTTTTAAGTTACTCCTTTGTCCATCCGAAGTCCTTCTCCTCCTCGTCGAGCTAAACAGTCTGCTCGTCCATCTTCTTCGCTCCCTGCCAAGCCTACTAAAGCCAAGAGTGCCCGAAGCCGCAAACGGCCAGCCTCAGCATCTCCCATTCTGGAGGATGATGTTGATGATGATGATGATGATATCCCTCTTATCGTCAGGAGGAAGGTAATTAAATTGGTTTACTCACAAGCATACTTTTCCATACTTGAAACTTTTCTGTGTGCTGATGATTTTTTGGACTTCTCAGAAAAGTTCAGCCTCTCCTTCAAAGGCTTTGGCATCGACAGCTCCTGCTCCATCATCCTCCGCGGAGGCTGCTTCATCCAAACCAGTTGATGAGGGGACTATGCTTAAAGAGAAATCTTCAGTCCCAGAATCATCATCACAACCCATGGATGAGCCACCTCCTTCCCAGGGCGTCAACCCCCCAAACATCGAAGCAGAAGGTAATTCAATTTTTTGATGCCTTACCTTTGCTTGTGCTATTGGTTTCTGATTTGTTGCTCTTGAGTTTTGCAGATACTCCTATGAGTCTACCCGTTGTGGCAACATCTTCTCGCTCAAACAAGGGGAACTCCTCACGAATGGAGAAGTCATTGGTGGCAGACTTGGCTGAGGACATGCCATCTTCCACGATTGTTGATGAGGTAATCTTTGCTTCACTTTTATTTCTATCTTGTTTGTTGTAGTGAGAATCTTTAATATTGGCAATTTTCTTTGCAGGATGCTGACAAGATTGTGCGTTCTATCCAAGACTTGTTCGCTTCCCGGGGGCAAGTCAAGACATCTCGCCCTGCTCCATCTGATCGTCCTGCTGCTTCTTCAGAGGAAGATTTGAAGTTTCTCAAGCAGTCGATATTTGAGTACGTATCCTTCATGGATATGAACATTGGTAGCGCTAGTGCTGCCAGACACAAGGATAAACTTGAGCATTTGAATGCGAAGTTGGAGCAAGCACTGACGCTTTCGTCGCTCAATCTTTCTGCCAATTTTAAAGCGACGTTGAAGGTCATCCACTCCGAGGTCCTTTCTTTGCTGGCCAAGAATGCTGAACTAAAGGCCAAAAGTACTCAATATCTTCGAGCCGTATCTGAGAAAGAGTCTTTGCATATGGAGATCAACAAGGTTGAGGATGAGTTGAAAGAAATCTCTTCCGAAGTCATGGTTGAAGACTCTTTGATGGTTAATTTGGTTGCTCAGATGAAGGAACTTCAAGCCAAAATGGATGACTGCAAGGCGAGAATGGCTGCTAAAAAGCGCAACGCCTCCCAGGGAATTGAGCGAACTAAGTTCTTGGTTGAACAGTACAAGAAGTTAGAAGTTGATGATGATGTCGTGTCCGAATTGAACATCACTTCCTCTCGGCAGAACGAGGATTGGGAAAAACTTAGGGAACGAATTCGTTCAGTGTGGGGTGACTGTAATTAAGACATATGATGCCTTTTTCTTTTGTAATTTGATTTTCCCTTTGTAACTTTGTTCATCATTAATGAACATATATGTTAACTTCTTGTGCATTTATTGGACATTTGTTTTTTAATCGTCAATTCTTCAAGCATTTAACTGCTTTGTGCTAAAAAATCTTGCATATTTTCTTTTGACATTTCCACTTATTTTCCCAAGACTTTGGGCTACTTAATTTCACTTACTAGGCAGAATGTGGCTGTTCATATTCTGTCTCTTCATCTCCACCCCCTATAAATGTACGTATGTTTCGCACTTTCCATCTTCCATCTTCATCTTCATTTTCTTCTTCGAAACCAATATGCTGCCATTGTTTGGCACCTTGACAATCAATCCGATCCGAAAATGGACTGTTTAGTCCGCCTATTTTACTATTTGCCTTGATGTCACCCTTGGTGTGGGAGGTATAGGAAATATTTTTTGGCCGACAGCAAAGTTTTTACCATCAAAGTTCTTCCCATCATCTCTTTGACCTTTACAAGGAGTCGATGATAGAAGGCAATTTTTGGGATGCTTGTGGGTCACCTTGCTTGCTGAGAGTGCTTCTCAGCCTCTTTGCCAGCCATTGCAGCGATGCATTTAGGAAAGTGGTGAGGCCAATCCACCCTCTTACTCGACGATCCCACCATTGCAGCGATGCATTTAGGAAGGCGGTGTGAGGTTAGTCCACCCTTTTACTCATCGATCAACCGGGAGATTAGTTTACTTTCGATTGTAGTTTGCAGAGCATCCATTATTTGTATTTTCGCATCTTTGTAATGAACGTTTGATAATAAAGGACTTTATTTGAACGTATTTCGCTCTGACCTTGTTATCCTTAATCGTTCAACATATTTTGATTATTCTTTTATCTGTTCACATTCCCATAAAGAATGAACATATTTTTTCAAATATTTGCCGTTAATGAATCTCACGTGCTTGGTGCCATCTAAATCTTCCAAGTGATACGCTCCAT